TCATCTGATTAAAGCACCTCCATCCCTTGTATTTTTAGCGATCATCTTTATTCTATTATATCGTCTCTCGCTTCATACTCTCGCTCTGCCGCACGCTCGCTCTACTCCTATGTAGTACGGCCGAGAGAGCAACCGTACGTAGTGTATCGTTTCTTCATTCATCTCGTCTTTGTAATTACAATCGCTCGAGGCCGCACGACGCGATTACTATATAGCTCACTTACCCATAATTGAGACAGCACTTATTTCTCAAGCCAAGTAAACAACAAAGACTTGGCACATCGACGCTTCGTTTGCGTGGCAGGGCAGATGCGCGTAATGTTTTCTCGCATTCTTCAGAAAAAGTATCGTTGAGCTGCGGGTGTTTCTTTTTACTGCATGCTATATCAACCTCGAGCATTTTAAAACGCTTTGTTTTATTGCTACTGCACATATAGAAAGAAAGATATCTATGTTTTCTGTCATTTTAATTTGGATGTGTGATTAGAATATTTTTCAAACCTTTTTTCCGTAGAACTGCAGAATTTTTTACGTTTAACTCATGATGAATGTTCTTTTTTGACTTCTTTAGTTCTTTACTATCTATCTTATTCTGTCATTTTCCTTGTACGATTTTTGTGGTTTATATATTAGAAAATTGCCGTTACTCTTTATAGCCGAGTTAGCATTCAATTCGAGTCCATTCACAAAATTGAAATTAATCGAAATTATCTTTAACTTCATCATTCTGCGCAGCTTTGAGCCGTCCTAGTTTCACAGTGTACTCATGTTGCGAATATCAGGGTCTTAATTCGAATTTTATTATAAATTTGATCTTATTTTTGATCCAATATTCATTTCTGATTTTTTTAAAATGCATTCTATGGTACCCTAGTCTCGTCTTGATTTTTCGTCTTGCATTCATAGAACTCATGGCGCCTCTATTTCGCCTTGGGTCTTCGCAATGCATTTCTCGATCAAGACGTTGCACGGAGGATCCCTGAGATCTCCTCAGATCCCAGGATTTAGCAGGGCCTTCCATCTGCTGATCCGAGCAGGATTTTGATGATGGAGTTTTTGCCGCCTGCAGAATAATTTAATGCGTGCAGATCTTGCGAGGCCTAATTAAAACTTCCCAGCGACTCCCCTCTTACCCTCTCTACCCTCGCGCTGCCCTCGCTCCTGTGCGCTGCTCTCTGCGTCATGGCTTGGCGATCATCTACCCAACTTCTACTGTCTACCTTCTATTGTCTACCTTTTAATATCTACATTCTACTGTCTACCTTCTACGGTATACCTTCTAATGTTTACCTTCTACGGTCTAACTTCTACTGTCTACTGTCAGCCTGCTACTGTTTACCTTCTACGGTCTACCTTCTACGGTCTACCATGTACGGTCTATCTTCTACTGTCTACCTTCTACTGTCCACCTTCTACTGTCTACCTTCAACTGCCTACATTCTACGGTCTACCTTCTACTGTCTACCCTCTACTGTCTACCTTCTACTGTCTACCTTCTACTGTCTACCTTCTACTGTTTACCTTCTACTGTCTACTTTCTACCTTCTACCTTCAACTGCCTACATTCTACTGTCTACCTTCCACTTTCTACCTTCTACGTTCTACCGCCAGGTATTTGCGTTCATGGGTCTACTTTTGGGTGTCTACCGTCGACCTGTCACAGACTGTCTACCGACTAATATCTATTTTCTGTTGCCCGCCTTCCGTAGCCTCCAGCCTACTTGTGCTTTCAACTTTTTTCTCGTTTTTACTGCCCTCTACCTTAAAGTGTCTATATCATGTCTACCACGAGATGTTTTTCTCGTTCTGCCAAGCGCTTCGATCATATCCCGCCTTGTAATATCTACTTCGAGTTAGCCACTGTACACGCTTACCCGCTATCTCCTACCTTATTTTCTAACACATATGATGGTAATTTTACACTAACTTCTTTGCTACAGTATATAAATCCTATTTTTATAATATACGATGACTTCAATGTACAATGTACAATGAAGAACTATCTTTCTGCTTCAGTCTACTGGTCGGAACTCCAAGTTTAAATATCACTTGTGATGTACTCATTCTAACGTGCATTTTAAAAAACTTAACTCTGTCCATTTCTCCCTTTGTGCCACTTTGTATTTATTTACTTTGTTATGTCTATTTCTTCTTTCCAAACTCGGGGTTGTATATTTTCTTTCAACTTTCTTTCTCGATTCCATGTATTTTGTTTGCATCTGCAGTCATGTTTTTTACTTCTATATACGGACTTAAAATAACTTGTCAATTGACAAGCTATCTTGAATTTTTTTATTTTGAAATTGGCGTGCACTTTATAAAAATATATGCGTTGTCTTGTAATTCGCTTTGTCTTCATTTTAGCTTTTAATTCAATTACGATGTTCCAGTTATTGCTGGACCTTTTTAAGATAAAATAATTCTTTAAAGAAGGACGATATATGCTAATAAAGTCATTTAGTTTAGTGAAATTGTCCCATTTTCTCAAGTAATATACATTTATGTGCTTCTACGATCGTTGAATACTGAAGCAAAATTCACTTCATTGCACTAAAATTCATTTATTTGCCATTAAACGAAAAACGAGTTCTGTTTTGACAGAGTCAATTATTCAATTCAAATAGAATATTGACCTTCCGTTATCGAGGCTCGATCAATATTATTGCGGTTAAACTATGTACGTCTTTCGTTTATTAGACTTGGTTGCGGTTAAACTAAATGGCCTTTCGTTATTAAGACTTGGTTGCCGTTATACTAAATGGCCTCCCGTTAATTAGACTTAGTTGCGGTAAAACTAAATGATCTTTCGTTAATTAGACTTGGTTGCCGTTATACTAAATGGCCCCCCGTTAATTAGACTTAGTTGCGGTAAAACTAAATGATCTTTCGTTAATTAGACTGGGTTGCCGTTATACTAAATGGCCTCCCGTTAATTAGACTTAGTTGCGGTTAAACTAAATGGCCTTCCGTTAACTAGACTTGGTTGCGTTTAAACTGAAATGGAATTACACAAATTAGAGGCCTAATGCTGTTTCACTAACTTGCCGGTCTCGCGGACAAAGGCATATCAGAAAATGGGGACCAGCAGGCCTTGCTCTGCTCATTAGACAAGTATCTCCGCAAACACGGAAAGTAAACTTTGGTCCTAAAAGTAACACCGCCACCTTCCTATCAATCAGGCAAAAGAGCCCGTATAATTCAGACAAAATGTCGCCCAAACTCAAACCGGATGAGAAAAACTTCCGAAACTTGTGGCAAGTTTGGAAAAATGCAGTAGCCGTCGAATTAAAACTTATGGCGCCGACAGTGAGCGCTGGAACCATCATTTAGATTTTTCTGAGCAAAACGAACGCCGTCTGATGAGCGAGCGAACTTTCTGAACTTTAATCAGTCGTTGTTTTGCTGAGACTTTCTGCTATATGGAATCCATACTCGTATTGCTGTTGTTGTGGAAACTTGTCGTTTCCTTGCCAATAGTTCTTAATATTATTCGCACAGATACAATGTCTGCCATTGGCCCATTAGTAATGATTAATGATGAGAACTATAAAATAAATAATTTGAAGCCGTTCAAGTATTTACTGTGAATTTTTTTATGCACGTGAATTTACATATATCGCGTGCCTCAAAATTAGGTGCATGTTTCCATGAATCGGTTTGAGGTAATACTACAATTGTATTTTATTTGATGATGCATTCTATAGACCTGCTGTCTCTGATACTGCAAACTATGTCTTCGTTAGTGTTCTTATTTGGTTTCCCTTACTAATTTCGAAACTGCAATATATATTTTATAAACTTCATCCTCCACCGATATGCCGGCTGGAATTTTCAGAAAGGAAAGCCTTGATTCCGTCCTTTGTCTCTCCGCCATCTCGGCGCGGTAATCATAAAGGCGTTTTCACGGAGCCATTTTTAAGGAGAAATTTTTTGAGACAGCCACCAAATTTTTACGTCAGTGCGGTCAGCTAAATTTCACAGAATTAGGAAGCTGGGAAATTTTATTCCCTACTTCGTTGCGTTCATCACGAACAACTCGGACATTGTTTAAATGGACTCTTGATGAGAGAATTTTAGCGCCACATTTTTAGCGTTAATATAGCAGTATTTTCATGGCTATTGACGAACGGTAATGAAGAACGATACTTTTGCCACCCGGCATCACGCACCAGCGGAGATTTTTACTTGCTATGATAATAAACAGAGGAAACGAAACAAAAGCTCGGTGTACTGTACAAGTGTGCTGAGGATGAACTATTAAAGACGAGCATTCAACGAGAACGGAAAATTTTCAGTTGTAAAAATATTTTATATAATAAATGCGTGTTTGGCAAAAGTTTAAGAATATTTGTTTATTCTGCTGTTTGTCATTACCATGTTGAAATTTATAGAATTTAATTAATATTGATGATTTTGTTAAAATGATCCATATTCATGTTTTCTGCATCTAATTTCGATTATAATTTCTAGAAATATGGGAGTTGTTATTCTGGCATCTTGGGATATAAGAAAACAATAAAGTCATTTAAGGCAGAATTAATGAAGTTACATTGACATTTAACTATCACATTTATATTTAGAATAATAATATCTATATTTAAAATATCAATGTAGCTTCAATATATTAATTGATGGTAATTGATATTTGTTCATCCTGCTAATACTCTTATTCACATTAATTTGAAAGCATTGTAGTTAAATTTCAGGAGCAGGAATAATTTAGCAGTAAAAAATTATGATTTGCTAGTGGTGTTCATACATAAGCATAAAACAACTATAAGATATATAATATATCATCATATAATAACTATTAAATTCATACCTCAAATACATAACTGAAATAGAAAAAATATATATAATTAAATGTAATCACAAAATAAGTAAAACTTCTAACCTCCAAGAAAAAGCAAAGAAGATTGAAAATCAAAAATAACAAATGAAATTTATCTCCATTTTATCATATAAACCTCACCGTTTGATTAATTTTGATCTCTGAACAGGAAGTGACGGAAGACCAGGATGAAGAGCTGTGCGAGGACTCAGTGGGAGACATGGGCTCCCACAACGGCGTGGGACCTGGGATGCTGCAAGGGTTCCCGGGTTTGGGAGCCTTTCCAGGGTTCGGTGGGAGTGGAGGAATCGGTGGAGGACTTGGAGGAGCACTTGGAGGATCAGCAGGAATGAGTAACCTGAGTCAAGCTCTTGCGTCAGGAATAAATTCATCGTCCGCAGCAGCGAGTCTCCTTCAGTTCTTGAGATCGTCGTCGCCGCGTGGAGCGTCCAACGATGCCGGGGCCCTGACTTCTTCGCTTGCAAGTCTGGGCCAAAGTCTGTCAGGGTTGGGCCAGGGCTTTAACAGTTCTCAAAACGGGCCAACACAAGGGTCCAACTCGCAATCCCTGTCGCCAACCCCGGACGGGGATCGGCATCCGTATTGGGGGGCCTCCGGACCCCGAAGTCTCATGGACAGGCCTGAGAGCCTGTCTTCGCCGTCGCTCCTTGACAGCAAGGTGGGTCCCGAATTTGAATTACCCGTGAAGCGAAGTATTAGGTTAGTGAGAACAATAGATTTAGGCATTGGGTATCTACTACCGGTAAAATGAACCATTTAGGTTGTATTACCAGTACAATGGAGCATTGCTTTTGTATTCCCAGCACAATGAAAAATTGGTTATGTATTATTTGTCAATGACGTAAAACATTGGGTTTGTAGTATCAAAATAGTCTTTACTTATTTCGTGACTGCGCTTTTAATGTAGGCAAGAAAATATTTTTTTTTGTAAGCTAAAATTATTTGAGGCGAGTAAAATACGTTTTACTATAAGCGATGAACTTTTCTGTCTGAAAAATTGTTTTGTTTGTGGGAAAAGTCACCTTGGAGACATTAATAAACTGGCATGAAAAATAAATCGACGAAAATGGCTATGATATATATTAAACATTCATTTTGAAATGAGTTTGAAATTATTTCTGGAAGCAGGTGCACAGTATCTCGGATAGTATCCTGCAATTTCTGCTTTTCAAACTGAAGATGAGCTCGAGATGAGGAAAGTACGCAATTTTCACATTCGGGCAACTAATAAAAATATATTTACATTAATTTCAACTTTTATTACAGCAATTTTGAATTACGTGGATACCTCCATGCCTTTTCAAAGCTTTAAAAATTTCCATTCAACACTCCATTGAATAGTTCATGCTGGAAAATTAAAACCCAGGGATGGAGGCATAAATTGAGAAATGCTTGCCTAAATAATTGGGCCTGGAACGCGCATTCCGTAAATGCTGCTGTTCAGTGCACTGATTATACCAGGCAATCTAGTTAAAGTTCCTCTATACGGACTCTGAGATAAATCAACTGTAAACAATTTCGATCCCTAGTGTGTTATTAATATGCTTGGAAATTAATACATCAACCAATACACCAACTGTTAACAATTTCGATCCTTGCATGTTATTAAATTTATATTATAAGTTATATTCTTTGATAGAGCTAATCGTGTTGTTTCAAGTTGCGCAATCATCGGCTAAACTAAATTTAAAATTCTCATTTCTTTTCAATGCGATATTTGGAAATTTGTAATAGCAAAATCTAAATTCTCATTACTATCTTTTGCGAAAAATCGACAGTTAAGGCAAAATATTCCCATATTTTCACAAAGCCTATGAAACCTCTCGATTTTATAATATTAAATATATATATGAAGACGAATAATCTACAATTTTATGTTCCGAGTCCAGCTATATCTGCCGGTCTTGTACTAACGCTTCTTGTCTTAAAACTTGACTGGAGCAGCTAGAACTATTCTCGTCTTGCCAGGCAGGACAAAATGCTCATTTTGTTCGCTGCGAACTCGCGGCACAAAGCCCAGTTAAGAACAATAGAGTTTTGTGTTAGAACAAAACTGATCCTGGCCCATCCACGCGCCTTCAGTGAGGATCATATCCTCCAAAATGGTAGTTCTGTCTTACCGACTACGTAAAAGACATGAAATTCCTTTCCGTAAAATAATGTAAAAAATAAACAAAATACAAAGATTTAAAAAACTCAAGTTAAATTTGACTTAATTTATGACAATATACATTTTTTTGACGTAAAGTTCTTGACAACCGATGTGTAAATTAGATGGTGTAATTTTTATTAAGTATCTCTTTTACCCTCTGCTAAAACCCAAATATTTCCCAACTTTAGCTTTATGATCATGACTCACTCTTCGCTCTTAAATGTTTAGATTTCATAAAAGATAAAATCCTTTACTTTGATTTTTTAAATACACCAAAATATAATCATATAAATATAATCCCATTATAAATTAGAATTATTTTCTAAAAGATCACCATTACGCCACTATTGCAAACAGAGAGCCGTAAGTCTGTCTTGCAGCATCCGCTATAACAGTAGGAGTACATATGCATGGTAAATGCACGTTCACGCTTGCCTCTTTCTTTCTTTGCAGCCCAGTATGTGGTCGGATTTTCTCTTATTAAATTGGATGAAATTTTCATATCCTCATGCCATGCATGATTTGGAGCGCTATTTAACTATGCAAAATGGAAATGGAATATGCAAAAAATATATTTTTTTCTTTAATCGTGAAACCCGATGTCCGATTGATGTTTAGCCGTGAGCATAAGTGCATTGAGCTGACATCAGCACCTTCATATACACTGTATTTTCATACGCATGAGTATCTTGTACATATTTTATATGACATCGTAGAGTCGAGGAACAGCCAACCAGCTTCTGCTAGTCTTTATTGCCGAGCTCAATATTTGTCGGGAGCTGTGCAATAGGCTTTACAGGGAGGTTTTAGAGGCGGTATTGCAGGCTTTTTGCGGACCAAACTGTGTGTAAGATCGCTCTATATTGGCTAGCATCCACCGTTGACTCTTCTCTAGACGAGCTCGATGGTTTATATTAACGGGATTTTTTGGCCATATTGAGACTAGAAATATCATGGGTCTTATGATATTGCTCTGTAAGGAAATATTCATTGTACATTTTCTTATAATCAAAGGAATGTTGCTTTGTTAACGATATTGTCCAAAATGATACGAAAATATTTTATGAATAATAAATTTATTTGATTTTTGAGTGAAGAAATTTTATCGCATGATCTTCCGTTATAATAAAAATCATCAGCGTGGAACAGGCCTGTGGGTTTGTAAATGAAAATGTTTTATTGAACCTGCCGTCCATCTGATATTTTGAGCAACCAAAGTAAACAAATTTTTAAAATGATACCAGACTCGCAATTCATTTAAAAATTTTGCGTTTTGTATCTTATGGGCCAATCTGTAGTTTCAAGATCGGTTTTCTTGCTACAGTTGCACAAATTTGTACATTGGTCATTTTTCGCCATGCTTTTCATCGTATTTCTTCTAACGCAATTTTATTCGCTTTTGACGATAGGACTTTTGAAGGAAGTCTTTCATGTGAAGCGCCATCTGTAGTTCTCTTTGGAAGCTCCCCAGCTCTTGTCAAGTTTTTTTACGTAGCTTCGTCACTTTATTCATTTACTTTCGTCTTTGCATGCTCTCCCTCTAGATGTTTTTCGAGCTTCTCTCGTTTTGCCGGCAATTTCTTTCTGTGATGTCGTCTTTTCTACAAGGTACGAGAGACAAAATTTCAGCGAAATAATTCGGGTGATTTTAGCATCCTTCGTTTTGGTGTGGTTTTTCAGTCGTCGTCCTTGTGCGATTTCTCTTTGTCTTTTACAAGCGCTTTTCAGACGGGGCGAGCTCTGGTCGTATGCAGGTACACTATTTGTTATTGCAATTGTTTCTCTTCGGCAGGGCAATAAAAATGTTTGCTATTGATGACCCTTCGAGGCAGAGAGAGAGAGAGATTGTGCAGCGTCCTCTGGCTGCCAGCATGTTGGTCTTCCCGGTGGACTTGAGGCATGAATATTGTGCGGAAAAATTTATGTTCCTCCAGCTTTCAGTTTAAAAATATCATAAACTAAAAAATTCATCTGAGACTTTCATCGGAATACAGGGTTGTTTGGTTTTGAGCGCCATCCGTTCAAAATGCCACCGAAAGTTTGACAAGCTGGCAGAGGCGGAGAATTTTTATTTTTGACTATTTTTATTTATTTTCAATAACCTTTATTTTTTTAATTTTTTGGGTGAAAAACAGTGTTTTCTGCCTTTTTGATTCCTTTCCTTCTTGATAAGGCTTTTCCTTTTACAATGACCTGACCTAATCTCATTGATATCGCTTCTCTTCTCGGACCTAAGTCTGTTCAATAAAATTTTGAAATATTTCGATTTCATATATAATGTAATCGTTCTAAAGAGACTTTTTAAACATTCTCTCATTTCGATCACACTCACTCGCAGAATATACCATCTTAATATCCTCCTCCCTCCTCAGTATCCACCATCACAATATCCTCTTCCCTCTTCAGTATCCACCCTCACAATATCCTCCTCCGTCTTCAGTATCCACCCTCACAATATCCTCCTCCCTCCTCAGTATCCACCCTCACAATATCCTCCTCCCTCCTCAGTATCCACCCTCACAATATCCTCCTCCCTCCTCAGTATCCATCCTCACAATATCCTCCTCCTTCCTCAGTATCCACCCTCACAATATCCTCCTCCCTCCTCAGTATCCTCCTTCACAATATCCTCCTCCCTCCTCAGTATCCTCCGCCCTTCTCAGTATCCACCCTCACAATATCCTCCTCCCTCCTCAGTATCCTCCGCCCTCCTCAGTATCTACCCTCAAAATATCCTCCTCCCTCCTCAGTATCCACCCTCACAATATCCTCCTCTTTCCTCAGTATCCACCCTCACAATATCCTCCTCCCTCCCCAGTATCCACCCTCACAATATCCTCCTCCCTCCTCAGTATCCACCCTCACAATATCCATTTTTAAGGAATCTCAGCAATCAGATTTTTGCTGAACGCCGCAGAACTAAATGATAAATTGTCAGCTTTTGGCTGCGCTGAAAACCACCAACGCAAGTCTTGGCAAAACAGAACACTTTCGTAACCGATCGGTGGTTGATTGGCTGCAAGTATTGGTTTGATTGGCAGTTACTTTAATAAAGTATTTGAGCTACAGTTACTGCACATACTGAATGACAGTAGCAGTTACTGCACCCATTCATTGGTAGCAGCAGTTGTTGCTTTTGGTAAAATTGTTCTACGCTGGGCACTGTGGTTACCAAATACAAATGACAGTCTTTAAATTGTTGATGATCGCCGAATAATTTGTAAGGGATATGAAATCCAGGAGAGTGTTGCGGTGAAACCGTATAAATATAAGACCAATAAGTTTTAGCAATTACAAAACTTACTAATGAAACTTTTTGTAAAATTTATTGGAATTTTTAGTTTTCGGTTAGGACAGTTATCAAAAAAAAAAATAATCAGCTAATTTCAAAATAAGACTAAGTGAATAGGACGTGTCAATTCATCTGTATGCATAGAATGCACCTTCAGCCAAAAATTGGAAGACAAATGCCGCCTAATTTAAGTCTTCGAATCTCCTCGTTTTTTTTTTCACCATTTACAATAATTCCGCGTTCTTAAAACACTTCTTGAGACTACTTATGTTTAAATACAATTTTATCAATTTCTAATTATATTTGGATAAGTCGTAGTCATTTTTATTCCAATTTACACCGGTTAACTCCACACTAAATTGAAAAAGAAAATTTGAATTTATATTCCATCATCCAATAGTTTTGACGAAGGCTCCTGGAGTTTAAATATAACTGCATTCTTGTAAATCTTACTTATTTTTACTCCAATTTAATCTGTGAACTCCACAAAAAACTGAAAGAAATTTGAGTTTATATTCCCTCCGATAATTTTGACGAGGGCTCCTTGAGTTTATCCAGGACCCTCAGCCTCCCCTCGTGCAGCCCTCAGCGACGCTCAGCGGCGTCTCATAAAATGGTTGGCGGTCATTACTGCTACGCCGCTCAGCACATCATTAGGAACCCTTCCTAGCATCCTGCATCATCCTACATCATCCTGCATCATCCTGCAGTGTGATGATACCATGCACATTACTGCCACGCCGCTCAGCACATCATTAGGAACCCTCCTAGCATCCTGCATCATCCTGCATCATCCTGCATCATCCTGCATCATCCTGCATCATCCTGCAGTGTGATGATACTATGCACATTATTGCCGCTCCGCTCAGCACATCATTAGGAACCTTCCTAGCATCCTGCATCATCCTGCAGCGTGATGATACCATGCAGCCTTATCGTGCAGTCTCAACACATATTAACTATGCACAACAACAAACAACAAAAATGCCATATACAACAAACAACAAAAATACACAGCAAAAGCACATTCAACATGCTCGGGTATGACAAACAGCCACAATATATAACTTAGATGCCACGCGGCCAGAGACGCTGTTGTCATTAATTGAAACATTTAAAAGGTTTTGATCGGCATCTACAATTGATTAAATCTACGGGATCCGCGTACCGTGTTTAAAAGCTTAGTTTGTCACAGATAATTGAACTTTCCAGTGTTATGTGCTGCATTTTTCACAGCGGAAATATTTAATATTTTACTATTTCCATGAATAAACTTTGAAATAACATCACGATATTGCCATATTGGTTTTCAATTACACATGGATATCCAGAGATCGAAAGAATGTTGTAATATTTTGAGGTCCATTCATTCCTTATTATTTATGATAAATAAATTTTACCGAAAAAATATAACGGTGTTTGCGAATTCTTATTCGTAGGCGTATAAATTGCAGCGGCTCGTAAGACATTGAAACTCAGACGGGAATATTTTCCTCTGAGCTTCGCATCTCGTCGCGAACTTCAGGCAAGTTCAGTGGGCATGAAAAATGTTCAAAAACTACTCCCCTCGCCTTGCAACTTGGAGCTCACACTCGACTGATCAATTAATGAAAAAATGATGAATTGACGATGAATAATGGGTGCAAAAAAAAAGTTCCAGCCCAAAATCAGTGGCAAAACTTAATATGAAAGATTTTAAACATTTATTTTTACAAAAGTTGAGGCAAAGTAACTGCGAAAATGACGGGAAGAAAATTAGTTGTAAAATTTTGTTCTGATGACGAAATAATTTTTCAGGCAATTAATTTTGAAATTGTCAAGCTCTATGATTTCGGTTTACTCTAAGAAGTACGTACATGAATTATTGTATTCATGTGAATGGCATAAGAATTTCCACCATAAAGTGAAGGGCCTATGAGGAACCCAGCGGCCTATGCTCTTTAACGTTGAAATTACGATCTCAAAAGGCCGCCTTTATACCTCCATCCTCTATTTTCTACCAGAATTTTCGAAGGAGTTTTTCGAAACGTTTTGACATTTTTGTCGCCTTTTTGAGCCAATATTTAAATTATGCTCGGAGTCAAAACCCTGGCGCTTCCCCATAGACCTTATTTATGAGTAACGTAAGGTTTATAATGGCGTGCTGTGTCGGGGGTTAGCGAAAAACCTGCATTATCTGCACTCGATCTGCAAGTTCGCTATCCAATTCTCAGTACATTATATTGCATCTCATTATAGTTCTAAACAAATATATCTTTTTACATCTTACTTAGTTTATTTTTTCTTCTAAATTTGAAATGCACTCACCATATATGCATTTTAAGTTCACGCCTTGTTTCGCTGCAGCCACGGCCGCTGCAGTCGACGTTGTTCAGGCGTCCGTCCGCGTTGAAAACATCGTGAATTTTTAGCCTTCTTAAGACGGTTGCGAAGAGTTCGTTTCTTTAGGTTTTGGCTCTGGATTTTAAAGGTTTTATACTACGGCTACGAGGCAAATTTTTTGCATATTTCCTTCACTCTCATTCTGTACTCTCTGATACAACGGGTTTTTCTTGCTCCTGAAAATCCGGAACGGAATAGCGCTTCGACCATATAAATGTTATTATTTTTATCTTAAGTTGAAGCCGCCTGCTGACAAGGATTCTTCGTAGGAATAACATTGCGACTGTTGCTGCTTCCACGGGATGGCGCGTGTTTGGTGAACTGGTAGTTAGAGAGCCCCAAAAATATGAAAAATTTTCACAGGTGATAGTGAAAAACGGAAATTAATTTGGTATAAAAGATGAATTCCTGATGAGCTGTTGTGGCATTAGATCATCACCAATTGATTTATTAGGGTGCACTATTGAATGGATCCCTTATTGGTTTCAATTCGATGGTTATTATTTTATTACTATAAGTCCTATCTTTATTTGGTTATTATGTCTGAAGGTAAAATGGTGATAAACATTTCATGAAAATTATAAAATGTTATTCATCAGTAAATTTCAACTAAATTTTTGCTCATCTCTGTCAAGTCAACCTATCACATTTTCTTTATTAATTTTAAACCAATACACAATAAAACAAATTTTCTCACCAAAATAAACTCTGGTATTATTGAATTATAATTGACAATTAACAATAAACCCCCCAAAATGAGATATATAGTCAGATTAATTTCTGGTTTCGATTGTGAATAAGTTGTTAATGATTGTTGAACATAGATGTAGTTAATATTAATTTGATCTAGTGGCCACAACAAGCGCAGTAATTTCCCAATAAAACAAATAGAGCGCACAAACGTTCTATAAGGATACTGAATTGACTCTGAAATTAAAACATAAAATAAATGTTTTTTAATTAGACGGATGGCTTAGTTATTTTATCGCTCATTGTTTCATTCAAAAATTTACTTTATGGCAACAGTTAATTAGGCTGTAAGCATAGTTCTTTCTTTTTTGTGTCAGTATTTTAATTCGTAGCTTTCATGTATATTAGTTTCATATTCTTTCAACATTATTTTTTTTAATTTTATCTTTTCAGGTTTTCTTTTAAATTACTATCTTTTTTAACCTTTCTATTCTTGATATGTAAACTCGTCATGCGAGCTCCATGAGCTGGCGTTCGATGGCCGCGTTTCATAATAAGAACGTCCAGTCTTGAGACGTCTTAAATAAGAACGTCCAGTCTTGAGACGTCTTAAATAAGAACGTCCAGTCTTGAGACGTCTTATTCTCCATCTGAACATCCGGTCTGCATGACACCAGTCTCCTGAATATGCATGAGACTCATGCTGGGGCTGATGATGGGTGGTGTGGTGGTGTGGTGGTATGGTGGTGTGGTGTGGTGGTGTGGTGGTGTGGTGGTGGTGTGGTGCTTGTGTTGCTAATATTACTCGGCGTTCTAGCTATCATACAATAACCCTAAGTAGAAATTCTGAAGGCCTTCCATAAATATTGTTTTCTCTACACCGAAACTTGTCCCGACTCATATTCACGCACGGCCAAAATATCTGTTAAAAATATTTGTATATACCAACCAGCGATCAATTTCACAATTAAACTACACATCATTGTGCCGTTTTATTTATATTTATATTGAACTAATTCTATATGTGGTTCTTTTATATTAATAACAAACTTTTTATACGCAGTTTCGTAGCTAGCCAGCGTACGGCTTCAGAACAGCGAGCGTTCGCTCCAGACGCGCGACGTCTCGTATGGGCGAGCGTGAAGATGTGAGGTGATAGTGAGGGCGTTGTGAGGTGATAGTGAGGGCGTTGTGAGGTGATAGTGAAGCATCCTGAAGTCAAAATGACGTGTCAAACAGTAATATATTTCAATGTCCTCACGGGCACTATAACAACTGAGCGCTTCGCACAAAAATTTCATGTCATTTAGGGGGAAATATTCTTTTTTTTTTGAACCAACGATATCACGGCACATAGAAAAATCAGTGAGCCATATTGTCTAAAAAGCGACGCACTTTCTTACAGCAATAGCAGAGAGCGGACGTAACACAAGTACGCGCTTATGACGGTCAAAACTGGATCAAAATAACCCTTTCAGTAGCAAACACTGGAACACCTTGCACTCATATCTTTGAGTGATGCTTCTGACATCGTCGGAAAGGCTTCCTCCATACCGCCCGCCCCGTGGCTGACATTCTTACAAAAAAGTTCATGTTTTGCATATAATAATTTGTTTGGGGGACCGCCTGTGGTCACTTCTTAGGTAATCATCACGTCAGTTTCTCGACATCAGCCGTAATGAGATGAATTAAACGGTCTAAATTTGGGCCTTCAACCACTACCTGTTTATCAGCTGGAGCAGTTCAAGCGTGTCGGCTGAAATAAATAAGTTTGATTCAAAATAATGACATTGTTTGTTGCTCCATAATATCAGGAATATATAAATAAATCAAAGTCTTTTCATAATGCAGGATTTAGATGCCAGTAAAATTGCAAACAATTTAGTATGTTTTCACTAAAGACGTTTTAGAGCCCAGCACCTTAACTGGATTACTCATATATATGAGAATTACAACCGATCTGTATGACTGAATTTGATGAGTAGCCATTAATATTGACTCAACTACAATACTTTCATGGAACGAATCGTTCGGAGTTTTTTTTTTCAAAGTTTTCAACTGATGCCGGAGCTGATATCGATAAATTTTCATTTCAATATAAAAAAATGGCATTATTTTGGTATAAAATTCTTCAAAAAATATGCTATTACAGCAATAAAATTATCTAAATAACAATATCGTACAATAAATTCTCGATATGCACCGTTTAATATTTTTAGTATTCTCAAAAAAGTGCTAAAAGTAAGGCCAGAATTAGTCATCCTATAAACCAGCAAAGATTTCCGTGATAAGTCTCACGTTTTGCTCTAAAGTCAAATGCCATATACCAAGAGCGTCCAACCACAAACCAAAAACGCCGTCCGTTGCCACCTCAGACTGGTGGTCAGACCTTGACACTAGAATTACACTCAACACATTCAAACAATGACTCATGGAATCGTATGGCCCGTGATATATGCCATTGTGCCCAATGATATAGCCTACTGTGATAGTGATATTTATTTTTTCCGTCACCGCAAGCGTCTCCAAAACAATGAGCTAAGCGGTATTTGAGGAGAGCAATGATCAACCTTATTGGTGAGTGCTCTATAAAAGCTATTTCTAATCATTAGTGGAAATTGCTATTAGAAATAAATAAATAATTTATACCCATGGCACACCCCAACTAGGCACGAGCAGCATTAAAACGTCCACATAAAATCAAATCAATTGCAAGTCTATATACTGTACGTATTGTTGAGATATCGCATTCAACATCGCATTG